TTCCCGTCATGCCACACTCTGATTCACTTCCCTTTCTTTTTTTCTCACACAGTGTCCATTTATTCATTACTGTGAAACGTTTCGGGCTGCTTTCCTCTATATAATGTCTTCTAGAAATGCTAACCTATTGCTGCAGTTTCCATGGTGACCCTTATATTTATTCTTCTTCCTTTATTGATGAAGCAATCTTCTGCCTGGACCTCTCAGTTCATCATCTCCCCAAATGTTTCCAACCCCTCCCCTGAAAGTGCTGACTCTGGTTTGCAAACAACTCTGTATACAAGTCGGCATCTTTTACCTGTGTCCGCTCTTCATTTCATGATCCTGGATAGGAATTGCATGCAGACTATAATAGAAGCACCTCAGCCAATCTTAATCCAATGTCTAACGGGGGCCCCTGATGTCTAGTGATATTATGTTTCCACTCTAGGCCCAGGTAGTAATTGTAAATACGTCAACCACATGGACCTCATAGAATATGAGTTCCCTGATCGGGGCTGTTAATCTGCTCCAATCAGGGAGCCCTGGCTGACAGATATAAACAGGAGTGTCAGAGGTTCTGTTCACTCTCGGAGCTGGCTCTGATGAAACCAGATCAGTGTCAAGCACTATGTACATGTAAACAAAGGGTGAGTTGATGATGGGATACCGACCTCTGTGGAGTTATTTCAGTCCAGAGGCAAGAAACCCCATTAGAGCAACTCAAAAACAGCTGATGTGAACAATTGGGTATAGACTAGGATAAAGAGAGAGTGGGTAAGGGGGTGATGGCATAAAGGTATTGCGGCTAAGCAACTAATCCAGGTAAAGGCCCAAGAATGCAGGTTAAAATACTGGTGTGGCAGATGGTGGAATTAAGAGTCTAGCAATGACAATGAAGACATTGCCAATTGTCAGGAAAATCTTTCTGCTTCAGGAAATGAAATAAATATCCTTACCCAGTCTGGCCTACAAGTGACTACAGACCCACAACAATGTGGTTGACTCTTAATTGCCCTCTGTGTAATTAGGGATGGGCAATAAATGCTGGCCTAGCCTGCAAAACCCAAATCCTGTGAATGATTAAAAAATATATATTCAGCAGATTTGAGAGGTTACGTGTACCAAGTGCTGGTTGGAGTCATACCTGACACATAGGAAGATGGTCATGGTTGTTGGAGATCAATCATCTTAGCTCCAGGACATCTCTGCAGGAGTTCTTCAGGGTAAGTGTCTTTGGCCCAATCATTTTCAGTTGCTTCATCAATGTCCTTCCCTCCATCATAAGGTCAGAAGTGGAGATGTTCGCCAATGATTACACAACGTTCAGCACCATTCACAACTCGTCAGATACTGAAGCAGTCCATGTCCAAATGCAACAAGATCTGGACAATATCCAGGCTTGGGCTGACAAGTGGCAAGTGATATTCATGCCACACAAGTGCCAGGCTATGACTATCACGAAGAGACAATCTAACTACCGCCCCTTTGTATTCAACGGTGTTACCCATCACTGAATTCCCCACTATCAACATCCTGGGCATTACCGTTGACAAGAAACTCAACTGGACTCCCCACATAAACACAGTGGCTACAACAGCAGGTCAGAAGCTGGGAATACTGTGGCAAGTAACTCACCTCCTGACTCCCCAAAGTCTGTCCACCATCTACAAGGCACCAGCCAGGAGTGTGATGGAATACTCCCCACTTGCCTGGATGAGTGCAGCTCCAACAACACTCAAGAGGTTTGACACTGTCCAGGACAAAGCAGCCGGCTTGATTGGCACTACATCCACAAGCATCCACTCCCTCCACCACTGAAGCTCAGTGGCAACAGTGTGTACTATCTATAAGATGAAGTGCAGAAATTCACCAAAGATCCTCACTCAGCACCTTCCAAACCCACGACCACTTCCATCTAGAAGGACAAGGGCAGCAGATACATAGGAGCACCACCACCTTCAAGTTCCCCTCCAAGGCACTTACCATCCTGACATGGAAATATATTGCAGTTCCTTCTCTGTCACTGGGTTAAAACCCTGGAATTCTTTCCCAAATGTCATTGTAGGTCAAACCACAGCAGATGGGTTGGAGCTATTCAGGAAGGCAGCTTACCACCACCTTCTCAAGGGCAATTAGGGACGGGCAATAAATGCTGACCCAGCCAGTGACATCCACATCCCACAAATGAATAAAAAATGAATTTTAAAAGTTTGAAAAAGCTACAACTCTTCTCTGAGAGAGGGAATATAGAGCAGTGATTTAATAAAGATTTTTCACTTTATGAAAGGGTTTGCGAACCAGAATAAATATCAGATAGTCATTAATTAGTGCAACAGGAAATTCAAGAGAAACATCTTCTCTCAGTGAGTGGTGAGCATGTGGTACATGCTCCCACACCAGTAGCTGGGGTGAATAGTATAGGTGCATTTAAGAGGAAGCTGGGAAAGTGTGTGAAGAAGAAGGGAAGAGGAGGAAATGGTGATGGGGTGGGACGCAGAAGTTTCTTTTTCTATTCACTCACGAGATGAGGGCATCGCTGGCTAGGCAACATTTATTGCCCATTCCTAATTGCCCCAGAGGGCAATTAAGAGTCAACCACATTGCTGCGGGTCTGGAGTCACATGTAGGCCAGACCAGGTAAGGATGGCAGTTTCCTTCCCTAAAGGACATTAGTGAATCAGATGGATTTTTCCAACAATCAACTTGTGGTCACCATTAGACTCTTTAATTGCAGATATTTGTTTAATTCAAATTCCACATCTGCTATGGCAGGATTTGAATCTGGGTCTCCAGGTCATTACCTGGGTTAGCAATCCAGTAATAATACCACTAGGCATTGCCTTTCTAAGTGGCATTGGGAACATTAACATTGGTGAGGACGTTGCACTGACCAGCCTGTTGTGGTGCAGTTATTAAACAAATTGCAAGAGTTGATGAGGGGAATTTTAACTCTCAGATACGAGTGTTGTCAAATAAGGCCAGATGTTGCAATGTTTTACGTTTTGTAACCAACTTCAAACCCGCCCCAATCCCTGCCTCACATCCTCAGTCTAATGAAGGAGGACAAGATTCATACAGAAATCCAGGAGGTGTGTTTGTATTTTAAATATTTTGAAAAGGTTCACCTTCCTCAGAGCTGTAACTCTGGCTGAACTTGGAAAGCAGAACCCCACGAGGGAGGGAGCTGGAGAGCATGGTGTGATCTCAGCTTCAAGGAGAAGTCTTTATAACACCCTAGCCTCCCAAGAACACCTCACTGTCACAGACCCCCAGGTGAGGGGTAGCAAGAGGGTGGAGATAAGGCTTCAGAACCTTGATCTGGGCCAGGAATCAACAAAACCTGGCAAATCAGTACCATTTCCCCAATCCTGTAACTTGTTCTGGGGCAACAGAGACTGGATGCACTGCCTTGCGGTGTTCTGTGTAAAAATCCAATGTAATTCTCTGCACTATGGCTCAGCTTTACACTGGCCAATACCATTCTCCATTGAAAATGATTTCACACTGTGTGGTATGAACCCAGTCTAAATAAGACAGTGTCTATTAAGAAGCTGTCTCCAAGATCAAAAGGAAGAGATGAGCTGACACTTCCTGCTATAGCATTGCTGTACAAGTAGATTTCTAAAAGGCTTATCAATTGCATATTGTTAATATTTATCTATTTTAATCAAAAAAAAAGCCAGCCCGGAGCATTCTTCCACATTTGAGGTCAAAGAAGCCCACAGTAAGGGTACAAACCCATGACGTTGCTTATTTTTAAATCAACTTTATCAGGCACACATCTGGCTCAGGGGGACTTGAATCCTTCTGGCCCAAAATTTCTGGAAGATGAGTGTAGCTATTTTAATCAAACAGTTCAAACATTCTACACTGTATGTGCACAACAAGTGGGATTTGAACCTAGACCTGCTGGCCCAGAGATAGGGGCACATCCACTGTGCAACCTTCTTCTATGTCCTTTACCCAACTCCCACACCCCAGGCCCTGCCATGACATGGGCTGCTTTCAGCACAGGCAATCACTTTCTCCGACTTCTGGTCCCCATTAGCAGCTTTTCTATCTTCCTAGTTGACTAATATCCATCCCTTTGTCTGACCAACTGCTGTTTTCCCTCTCCCTTGGCTCCATTTCCATTTAAATTGCCCATAGTGTCGGGACATATGCGGGTCGATGGATCAGCTGTGGGAACTGCAGGTTACAGGGATGGGGTGGGCCTGGATGGGATGTTCTATGAAGGTTTGGTGTGGACTGAATGGGCCAAATGGCCTTATTCGACACTATATGGATTCTATGAATCTATTGCTTATTCCTTTACCCACCAACACCCACACACCCATATCTTCAGCTTATATACCATCTTTTCCGAGCTACTATCAGTTCTGATGGAGGGTCACTGGACTTGAGATGTTAACTCTGTTTTTCTCTCCACAGGTGCTGCCAGACCTACTGAGTTTCTCCAGCAATTTCTGTTTGTCTTTCATTCAGCATTTGATGAATGTACAGTCCCTCAGTACGAACTGTCTTTCTTAAAAAAAAGAACTGGCAACAGTGGTGTGTGTGGAAGATTATTCATTTTCACACAACATTCAGAAGCTATGAGAAATTATCCTTGCAACAAAACACAGTGGAAGATAAAACATCACAATCTGATTTAATCTGAAACATGCTTCAAACACATTCTTCAAATGACAGGTCATTGAATTGTACAGCAGAAAAGGGAGCACTTTAAAGCTCATCGCATCTTCCTGTCCCCTCTCCGCTGTTCCTTCCCGATAGTCTCGGTGATTGTTCCTTGCTAATTAGTGGTCCAACTTCTTTTCAAATATCGCTGAATCCGTACCCATCACCATTCCAAATCACAACTTGCTGCGTTAAGAAACAAATACCTGCCCTCCCTCATTGCTTTTTCTGTTGCCAATTATTGGTGAATTATCTCCTGTTAAAATGAGTAAAATGATTTTTTGGTTTTGGAACTGAAAGTTTGGAACCACCCAGAAGATGACACTAAGTTGAGACCTTTAAGTCAAAGTTCTATCCGGCTCAACACCACGTGATGAAATCAGTTTTGTTTTTTTCCCAAAGGTTGAGAAAGTGTTGTTCTTGTCCATGTCACCAGCTGTGAAAGACTGGAGTTTACTCAGCTTCACTGGGGCACTGCCAGGTATGTAGACATTCAGCTTGTATCCAGTGGGCTGGTCAGGGTAAGGGTACTGAGGTCCATACCTTGGTATCCATCCGTGATCATCAACTCCTGGCGATGGGGCTAGCCGACTGGTTTCTGCATCTAAAAAAGAAAATATATCAATTAAAAGTGTCCCACAAAGTACAGTCAAGGTATGTGTGAATATTCGAAAAGACCTGTTTCGCTTCACCTCAGCATATCCGAGTGCTTTACAGCCAATGGAAGATTGATGAAGTGTCGTCATTGGCGTAATGTGAGAAACACCAGTGTAATGTGAGGCAATCAAGTTCACAGACAGAATGAGGCACTCATCAGATAATCCATTGTAGTGGTGTCAGTTGAGGAATTCACATTGGCCAAGACACCAGGGAATACATCGCCCATTCTTCTTCAAAACGGTACCTCAAGATCCTGTTCCCATCAAGTGGGTAGACAGTACCTTGGCCTAACATCTCAACAGAAACTTGGTGTCTCCAATGGTGCAGCACTACCACAGTCACTGGACTGAAAGCAGAAAGATTTTGCAGGGAATTACCCTTGGGTAAAAGCAATTAAAGACATGAACATATGAAAGCTTTAATACTTTTAATTAAACAACACAAATTATGGAGTGTCATAATACAAGTTACAACATTTAAGAAATATTTATATGATCACTTGATGTTTCATTGTATACAAGGCTCTGGCTCAAGTGCTGGGAAATGGGATTACAATAGATGGGTCTTCATGCACATCAATGGGTCATAGGGCCTTTTTCCATGCTCAAATAAACTATGACTAAATTATTGAATATGATCAAGGGGCCACAGAATTAACGCAGAAGGAGGCCATTTGGCCCAGAATGCCCATGCTGGCACCTTAAAAGAGTTACAGGGTAAACCAGAGCAGACTGTTTCCAATTGTTGATTGGTCTAAAATGACTATAGAGGCAAGATTCATCCTAAGTGCTTCAGACAATGACCATTTCCAATTAGAGACAATCTAACAATCTCCTCTTAATAATCAATAGTGTTACCATAACTGAAACCCCTGCTATTGACATCTTGGGGGTTACCATTGACCAGAAGCTCAACTGGACATACCAAATAAACACAGTAGCTACCAGTGTATGTCAGAGACTAGGAATACTGCAGTGAGTAACTCAACTCCTAACTCCCCAAAACCTGTCCACCAGGAGCGGCACGGTTGCTCAGCGGTTAGCTCTGTTGCCTCACAGCGCCAGCAACCCGGGTTTGATTCCACCTTCAGGTGACTGTCTGTGTGGAGTTTGCACATTCTCCCCGTGTCTGCGTGGGTTTCCTCCGGGTGCTCCAGTTTCCTCTCACAGTCCAAAGATGTGCAGGTTAGGTGGATTGGCCATGCAAAATTGCCCGTAGTGTTCAGGGATGTGTAGGTTAGGGGATGGGTCTGGGTGGGATGTTCTAAGGGTCGGTGTGGACTTGTTGGGCCAAAGGGCCTGTTTCCACACTGTAGGGATTCTATGATTCTATGATAATCTCCAAGACACAAGTCGGGAGCATGATGAAATACTCCCCACTTGCCTGGATGGGTGTAGCTCCAACAAAACTGAAGAAGTTTGACACCATCCAGGACAAAGCAGCCCGCTTAATTGATACTACATCCACTCCCTCCACCACCGATGCTTAGTAGCAGCAGTGCAGTATGCACTATGAACAAGATGCACTGCAGAATTTCACCAGATATCCTTAGACAGCACTTTCCAAACCCACAACCACTTACATCTGGAAGGACAAGGGCAGCAGATATATAGAAACATCCCTACATCCAAATTAACCTCCAATCCACTCACCATCCTGATTTGAAAATGTATCATCGTTCCTCATCTGTCACTGGGTCAAAATCCTAGAAATCCCTCCCTAATGGCATCGTGGGTCAACCTACAGCACATGGGCTGCAGCAATTCAAGAAGGCAGCTCACCACCACCTTCTCAAGGGCAAACTAGGATAGGTAACAAATGCTGGCACAGCCAGCGATAACATGTCGCTCAAGTAAGTAATGATAAAAGGCAGGAAAAGCTTCTTCCCACTGAGATAACAAGGTGTGGAGCTGGATGAACTCAGCAGGCCAAGCAGCATCAGAGGAGCAGGAAAGCTTACGTTTTGGGCCTGGACTCTTCTTCAGAAATGCTTCAGAATTTCTGAAGAAGGGTCCAGACCCGAAAAGTCAGCTTTCCTGCTCCTCTGATGCTGCTTGGCCTGCTGTGTTCATCCAGCTCCACACCTTGTTATCTCAGATTCTCCAGCATTGGCAGTTCCTACTTTTCCTCACTGAGTTGTGCGGTCACCTCCAGATATTGTGCTTGATGAGAAACTGTGCCAAAATGTGACATTAGCTAAAGGAAAAGAATTTGAAAAGATATGGCAACAGGGATGAGAACTATTCGCTTGCTTAATGGATAAACAGCGACGCCAACTGGTTGCATCACAAAGCCTCTTGCTGTGAAACCTGTTCATTTTTCCACATTGCACTTTTTCACGTGCAGTACTCAATGGAGTCCACGGTGCGGCACTGGTGAGCACAGGATTCAGATCAGGACATGTAACATCAAATACTGGCCTCTTGGTGGTGCTGTTGGATCATTTGGGAGACTCAAAAATCTGACATTTCTCTGACATTTGTCTGCAAAGTTTTCACCTGCCACCGGGATAAGGTTTGTACTATTTTCCAGGGACACTTTACTGGGTGAGTCAAGTTAAGAGAAGTCTAATCTGAATGTAGAAAGTAGAAATGCAGAAAATGGGCAAAACTTCACCAAAAAGAATGATTCAAAATGCGTCAAAAAATGTTGGACAAGAGATATTTCAGTCTTTTTCAGATCAAATGTTCCAGCAACAAACGCAGTGATGAAGATGAGTCCAACATCCTCCACGAAAGATTCAGGCAGTTGACTTTGTGAGTATTATGTCTCATTTTTGTGGGAAATGCAGAGAAAAGAACCTATCCCCGTACATCACCTTCTTCGACCTTACAAAGGCCTTTGACACCATCAATCAGGAAGCATTATGGAGGGTCCTTCTCCACTTTGGCTGCACCACAAAGTTTGACACTTTTCTTCACCTACTCCATGGCGACGTGGAAGTCATGGTAATGACAAATGGCTCCACCAGCGATCCATTCCCCATTCAGGGTGGTGTCAAACAGAGTTATGTCATCGCCACAACACTGCTCTCGATCGACCTCACTGCATTGCTTCACCTCACCATTGACAAGCTTCCCATTGGAGTGGAGCGAACTTACAGAACCAGCAGGAAATTATTCAACCTCCACCACTTTCATACCATGACCAAAGTCGCCCCAACCTGTGTCATCAAGCTGCAGTATGCAGATGATGCTTACGTATGTACAATCTCAGAGGATGGACCCCAGACCATCATCAGCGCCGTTACAGGGGTAAATGAGAGCAAGACGAAGGTCCTGGCCCGGCATTGTGGAGCGTACTCGCAATCATCAAGGTCCACAAGAAGAACGTTGGCCACTTCCAATACCTTGTGGGTTTCTTGTCGACCAAAGCAGATGTTGATGAAGAGATCCAGCATCACCTCTGTGTGCTAGCATAGCCTTTGGCCGCCTGAGGACAAGGGTGTTCAAGAAGTGGGAGTATTTGGGGTAGGCAATGGCCTAGTGGTATTATTGCTAGCCTATTAATCCAGGAAACTCAGCTAAAGTTCTGAGGACCCAGGTTTGAATCCAGCCTTGGCAAAGGGTGAAATTTGAGTTCAATTTTTTAAAAAACCTGCAATTCAAAATTTACTGATTACCATGAAATCATTGTCAATTGTCAGGAAACACCCACCTGGTTCACTAATGTCCTTCAGGGAGGGAAATCTGCCATCCTCACCTGGTCTGGCCTACATATGACTCCAGATGCAAAGCAATGAGGTTGAATCTTAACTGCCCTGTAGGCAATTAGGGAAGGGCAATAAATATTGACCTAGCCAGCAATGCCATTGACACATGAATGTATTTTTAAAAAAAACCCACACCAAGATCTTGGTTTACAGAGCTGTGGTGGTTCATGCCCTCCTGTATGGCTCTGAGACATGGACAGTCTGCAACAGAAACTTCAAGGTGCTGGAGCAGTACCATTAGTGCTGCCTGCACAAGATGCTGTGAATCCGCTGGGAAGAAAGACGCACTAACACCACTTTCCTCGACCAGGCCAACATCCCCAACATTGAGGCACTGACCATCCTTGATTGGCTGTGAGGGGTTGGGCATGTCGTCCATGTGATCGACACGAGACTCCCCAGGCAGGTGCTCTACTCCCAGCTCCAAAACAGCAGGGGAGCCCCAGGTGGACAGAGGAAGCACTTCACTGATACCCTCAGGGCCTCACTGGCAGAGTGCAGCATTCTCACTGACACCTGGGAATCACTGGCCCAAGACCATCCAAAGTGGAGGAGGAGCATCGGGGAAGGCGTCGAGCACCTCAAGACTTTTCATCTGGAAAAAGCAGAAGCCAGGAGAAAACAGCGAAAAGAGCACGTTGCTGTACCAATACCCCAACCACCCCTTCCCAGGACCACCGTCAGTCCCAAGGGTAACAGAGCCTGCGGTAGCCAAATTGGTCTGTACAACCACATACAGACTCACCCTGAGAATGGAAGAGAGTCATCCTTGTCTGCAAGGAACCGCCGATGATGATAATATTCTGTTCGTCGCTGATGTTATAGATTCAAAGATGTAACATTTACATGTAATGTATTAGCCCTTAATTACTGATGTACCAAACTGCATTGTGACTCTGACAGAGACAAAACAAAACTGCAGATGCTGGAATCTTAAGGTAGACAAACAGGAGGCTGGAAGAACACAGCAGGCCAGGCAGCATCCGGAAGAAAGGAGGAGTCAACATTTCAGGTATTACCCTTCCTCAGGACATTGTGATTCTGTCTGGAATCAGGTCTCCCTGCACTCACTTTCCTCCATTTCGGGTGGTCTTGAACGTAACTGGCTGGGCCCTAAACTTTGCATTTCTTTCTTTCAAATTTTCTTTTCACCACCTACTTTGAGAGTTTCTTTAAAACCTACCTCTGTGTCCACAGATCAGTGGATAATTATTCTCAGGAGTGCA